ACAAAGAGCAATAGTACTTTATTAATTTCCATCTAAAACTGTAGTATATTCCCCATAATTAAGGTTGGCAATTAACAAAGAATATCAAGAACAATATTTTTCAAGTTTTTTATATAATTGTAGCAATAATCCCATATTGGTTCCGCTTTGTTCAGGTAAAGTGTGCCCCTTTTTGCATAATAATTGCAGACAAAACTGTATTTTGTACTGTTATTCTAGCGTTTCTGGTGTTGCTGACTGCTGCTGCATTCATTGTCTAGTGCCTTCGCCGTCTTTTTGAGGAGAAAGATAAAATGCATGGGATAAATGGTGTGAAATATTTATCAACAATCATCGCTGTAGCTTTGAGAACAATTTATGACTTAAACAAGGGCAAAACCAGGCTGATTGCAGCTGCAGTCAGTTCTGGTATAGCAACAATTGGTAGTACATATTGGGACATTGTCATAGATTGGGGCCTTCTGCGGAGAAATTCAAGAAACCCTTGGTTGAGAGACAAGCTTGTTGTACCAAACAAAAGTGTTTATTTTGTAGCAATTGTAAGAGTTTTGTTGTCACTTCCTATAATCACACATTTTCTTTCATTTTTGGTTTTCAGATAAAATGATAACTGTGATAATGTGCAGGTACTGAATGTTCTTCTAAGGCTTGCTTGGATGCAGACAGTGCTAGGCATCACAGAAGCACCTTTCTTGCATAGAACAGCCTTGACTGCAGTAGTTGCCGCCTTAGAGATCATTCGACGTGGGATTTGGAACTTCTTCAGGTATCCTAAACTCTTTTGATCATAATTTTGGGATTTCAAGAGGGTTGATTTACATAACTCAGTTGAAAAATAGATCAACCAACATAGACAGAAACATAACATGCACTGATACCTAATCAAGGCAGAAGTAAAGAAATATGCAAAACCTTCTCTAAAAAGCTTATAGGAAGTCTTTTATCTTAGGTTTACCTTCAAATTTTTAGGTAAGAAGAACAGGGTTTTTCTTTAGAAGCAGCGTAAAAATGAGTATACAGATTCTGACTTCATAGATAGACTGACGAGCTCTAACATAGTTTAATTCAATCTCTTTTTAGAACTAAAAATGAATTCAACTTTATTGACCAGGTTGGAGAATGAGCACTTAAACAATGTGGGGAAGTACCGAGCATTCAAATCAGTACCCTTACCTTTTTATTATGATGACAATGATACCAAGCATGCATAAAACATTCATGAGATGTAGAATTATAGGAGAAGTTTTGTGAAAGAAAACTTATTAGTCTATTCTTGTATAAATAAAGAGAAGAAAAGGGAAAAAGTTGCTAGGAATTAAACTACAGTTGAGTTTCTCAGTAAGTGGATGTAAAAATTTATTAACCAAATGGCAATCTCAATTCTTGATCTTGCTCATATACTGTGCAATTGATCGTGAACACAGCTTCAAGTACATTATTCAGTTCACAGCTATTAGAAGAAAAATCAAAACACAATTTAAGCACCAAGACTGAGATTCTAAGGGTTTTTGCTCACAGACTGGGCATCTTCCTTGTCTCCTTCCTTATCATTTTGTTGAGTAGCTGAAGAGTTTATATCAGAGTTTTCGGCTGTTAAAGCACCTTCACTATCATTATCCTGCCCCCTGAGGAGAGAAGAGAAAGACAATGGATTGCATGTGGAACTTGACTTCTGTAGGCCTCGTATAGCTTCTATTGCGGCAAGTGTACTGCGATATACATCCATGGTTTCCTCTCCTACTAGAGTTGAGGAAGTATCTACTGAAACATTTGAAGTTGAGTTTGACACGCCTTGTACTGCAGTAGTGGATTGAATGACTTCTGCCTCCAATGGGAAAAGAAGTTCCAGATTTTCCTCACACTCCCGGACTAGCCTTGTGAGAGACTCTGTTGTAAAGAAAGGCTGATGAAGTGCAACTTGAGTGAAAGGTAGACGCAATAATCCCCCAGTTCTCTTATCATATTTCTTCAAGATTTTTATAAGCCCTGTTGAAGCAGGAACACAGAAATAGCTAAGAAACTAAAAATACCTCAACCTATGTAAGTTATATGGTGGAAAAAGATGGATGATTCTGTACCTGCAAAATTAAGAGCACTATAGTTCTTGAGAAGTACCATCTCCCCATGAATGATAACAAGGTCCTTACGCATGTCCATCATTTCTTCACTAAATTCACTCTCTGAAGTAAAAACTCCACCCCTGCCGCTGGTATCTTTCACTTGCTGAATTCTTTCCTTCAACTCCTGTTACATATGATCTTCAGTTCAATGAAATTGCTTGCCAATTTCTAAAAAAAATTCCTGTTACGTTAGCATCTAAGATTAGAACCAAAAGTCCAGCATGCTGCAGCATAATTGTAGCTTATGCCACCATTTACATGAATTTGTAACATCTGTTGCATCCAGAGAAACTCTTCACTGAAAGTCAATGGCTCCATTTAAGGAGGTAATTGGAGAAGGCATCAAAAACCATACAGGACATGATCATAGGAACACACAAATGTAGTATCAAATTTTACCAAAGAAAGATCAAAATAGATTACAAAAATGGAAAATTCTACTCAACTGAAGGATTAACTTGAATAGGTTTCAACAATCTTTAGCTTCATTAACACCTAAATCATCATCCTCCCAAATAAAAACATATTTCAATATATTCTGTCCAAGACACTTATTCTAAATCCTAACAACTCCAAGAAACAATTTGACCCAAAAAAAGAAACCCTACAAAGAGCAATAGTACTTTATTAATTTCCATCTAAAACTGTAGTATATTCCCCATAATTAAGGTTGGCAATTAACAAAGAATATCAAGAACAATTAGTTAAAAAATAAAAAGGAAAAAAGAAAAGAAAAGAGGAATGTAAAGTGAGAACCTGAAAGCGAATAACAAAGTCCTCCTCTTTATCAACGTAAAAATCGTTGAACTTTTCCAGTTCTTCATTTAGGATTTTAACAAACCAATCCTGCAAGGGAATCCGGAGGTGGCTACCACCGTGATCCTGTTGATGAGGAAGGGGATATACAGCGGCAGAAGTATTGGTGGTGTCAGCGAATTGAGGGCGAGGATCGGGAGTAGGGTTGGAAGGTAGCCTTTTGAGGAGCTTCTTGAGGGGCTTGTAACAGAGGAACTTGTCCCTCCACTCCGGCAGTGTCTCCTCCAGATGGGTCTTAAACTCTTTCCCGAATTTCATCGGAAGACTACAGAAGGAGCGTCTCTTGGGTGAGGAAGTGGGAAGAGAGGGAGGAATTGAGGGAGAATCTGGAATGGAATGAAAACTTATAATGGGATAGAGATGAGATAAGAATCATGATGGGATGACCAGGTTCGGTGCAGTTTTAACAACAACACTTTCTACCAAAGTATTATTCTTTGTTCTGTTTTGTTCCGTTCTCTCCTTGCTTTTCTTGTCGTTGCTTGTTAATTCTTTTGACCTCCTCTAGGTTTGATGGGAATAAGAACAGAATGTATATACCTTTATTTATATGTGCTGCCATGCTTCTCAATATTTCTCCGCACTTAATTTAGTGATTACCCCTTTTTTTTTTTTTTTTTTGGTTAAAAGTCATGCAAATGGGGTGACATAAAAAATGGGGTGACAAAGGCCATGAACATGCAGTTCCATTTATAAAAAATACAAAATCCCATTTATAAAAAAATACAAAATCGGCGTTAAGGGAATTTCATAATTATTTAATTAATTTAATAAAAAATAACTCCCTCAGGCTTTAAACTTGCTTTACCAATATTTCATATAATTTAAATCTAAAACTTCTTACTTATATAGCTTACCACCACTGAAATATTAGGTTCTTGATTCCTAAGAATAAAAAACAAATCTCAAATCTTCGTAATAGAATTAAAGTCTTAAGAGTTAATAAATGTTGTAACAAGTTGGAGAAATTCATTGGAAAGCAAAAGAATGTCTCTTTTTTTTTTCCTTTTTTTTTGGGTGAAAAGAAGGCAAATGAATGTTTGAGAGGAGAAAAAGGTCGAAAGATGGTCAGTGAGAAACATTTTTATTCTTCATCAAATTTTGATTTCTTCACACACTACTCAAGCATTCGCGACGAGAAATTTTGCATGACGTAGAGAAACATTATGAAGTTTGTTTAAAATTACCAAGGGGATCATTACAGAGTGAAGTAATGACGAGCCACAGAGCGAAAATTTCAGATAGCAAATTCCAATTGAAGCAAGCAAAGCAAGAACAAACTAGGTAGCAATGAAAGCTACACCTAGGACCTAAAAAGGGAAGAAAACAAAAGACTGGTTTAACGCGCCATTTATATGGTCTCAAGGGCCTGGAACACATCAGCCTTCAAATCTTCGAAGTCCTCAACTCCAAAGCTGAATCGAACCAAGTTGTCCTTAATCCCATACTTCATCCTCTCCGATTGACTAAGATCCCTGTTCCAAAAGAGGCAGAAAAATAATCAGTCCTTCATAACCATCACTAAACAAAAAGGAGACACCAATAAATGTGGAGTCACATACCCCGGATGAGTTGCATGTGCTTGTATACTCATGCTCTTATAGCGTTATGATAAAATGTAGTCAAAAACAGAAATTCCATATTGAAGGCTAGGCATTATCTCTGAATTTACATTCAACTTTCTTTCCTCGAGGTATAATTTAGGGGAATAGCTATTAATTGGATAAAATATCATCAAGAAGCATGGACTGTATATAAATGTGAAATTTAATGACATACCAATAAGACATGATAGCTGGCTGATCAACAATGCTCTCACAGCCGCCAAAGGATGGAGCAATATAAGGGATCTTCAATGCATCGACAAACTTTATAGTGGTCATCAAATCTCCATCAATCTGCATGTACAAAAGCAATAAGCTACAAACAAATTTCTACAGAAACAAAAATATGAAGTAAATGATTGAAGGGTAAATAGGCAGCCATTGGTTTAAAGAAGAAAGATGACACAAACCTCAAAACTGACAACACCACCAAAGCCAGTCATTTGCTGCTTGGCAATGTGATGTTCAGGATGACTTGGCAACCCTGGGTAATAGACGCGTTGCACCTGCCATTGATATTTAATGAACCCATAACATACAGGATAATATTAACATAGCTTGATACAAGGAAAGTAAAACTATATGCCTGAAATACAGTCACCACAGTATGACCTGTACAATAAGCATCGTCGTCAACACAACTGTACCACAACAACTTAGATATGGCAATGTTGGTCTATTTAGACACCAAAATCCAATAGCAACCAAGCAATTGTATATGCAGCGTTTGCATACTTAACTCTAAAAGCCACCTCATCACTCAGAAAGGTGAAAGCGAGGGAACAGTTTCCTACCTCCCCCCACCGCAAGAAAGATAAATAACCATTTGAACTTTAAAGAGGAGTTCAAGTATACAGCAAAAATTGTAATACACTCAATAGAATGGTTGGGTTATTCTTGAATCCAGCTATTTAGCAAAATCAGCATCATTTTTTGTTCATAAATCTAGCTATTCTCTCTCAAACATGAACACAGATGTCCAATGCAGTTCCCACATCCCACATTGGTACATTAATTTATTTTGTAATTTCTCTTACATAAGGAGAATTGTACCAAAAGAATTGTTTACGCTGTAGGTTTGAGTAATATAGAAATACAATGTATGGACCATACATGACGTTAAATAGCCAAAAAATAACTGCAATCAGTACCTTTGGATGTGCCTCTAAAATTTTGGCCATCCTTAATGCTGTTGAATTTTGTTGCTGTACACGAAGATGCAGTGTCTTCATGCCTCGAATGATCAGATAAGCAGCATTCTGTTTAAACACAGAAATCATATGTTATGGGACTCACAACAGAGGATAAAAATGGGGCCAATCCTCAACAAATAACAGTCTGTAATCATAATCTACGAAAAAAAAGCTGCATTCCGTTGTCTAAAAGTCCAAACTCAAACTGTGGATCAACTTAATCATCGCCCTAGTGAGTGTATATATATATATATATAAATTCACAACCTAGAGCAAGCATGCAGATGGAGAACTGATAAAAAATTTCATTAGACTGCAGATATAGACAATTACTCACTGGATTTAGAGTACCGCCCAAAACATGATGCAAATTACGTATTTGAGTAACCAGCTCCAAAGAACCACTTACACAACCAGCAAGGACCTGAAACATGAGGAATTGTGTTTGTTCAGTGCTCATGCGTTTGAACTCTTTTAACTTATTAATTAACAAATTCAACCACACTTACATCATTGTGGCCCCCAATGAATTTAGTTGCAGAGTGCAGAACAAGATCAGCACCTAGAGCAAGGGCTTTCTGATTGAGAGGTGTTGCAAAGGTACCATCAATGCAGACCAAAGCTCCTTTTCTGTGGCAGAGCTTTGAAACTAACTCAATGTCAACACATCTCAGGAATGGATTTGTAGGAGATTCAGTGAAGAAGAGAGAGACCTATGCAGAATTAATGCAACAACCAAGTTTAACCCATCATTTCAAAAATAAATGAACTAATAAATATACACTAGAAAAACAATCTAGCCACTTTCAACACTACTAACATTGTTCTGATCGAGTGCAGACTCCAGGCCTTTCATATCAGCAGGATCAATGACAGTAACCTGCATGTTGGATTGGTAATCAGAAGATAATTCAAGAAACTATGCCAGAATTTCCAATTTTACCATTAGAAATATACAAATGGCTAAAATAACAAGCAATAGAACCATGAACAGTAAATTTAACTCACAAATACAACAAACTAAAATCCAACACAAAAGAATTGAAAAAGGAAAAAGAAATCCACTTGTCATATGTGCCAAGTAATCAAAAAGTTTATTTCTTTCTTTTCCTTTAAACACTACCTTGTCACACATACCAAGTGAAAAGAAAAAAAGGTATCATTGCAGTAAAACAAGCTAAGTAAACAAAAATTCTTTTGGGAGTATCTAACTTCCTTACGACATAAAGCCAGCTGAAATAACAAGATTAAAAGAAAACTATACCGAGATTCCCATTTTTGGTAACATGGTCTCAATGAATATCCTAGTCTTCCTGTAGCAATCAGTTGTTGTCACCATATGACTGCCAGCAGGAACCAATGCCATCAACATGACCGTGCTAGCACACATTCCAGATGCCATAATCACGGTTGACTCAGCTCCCTCAAGTGCACTAAAACAAATATGCCACAACCTCATTAAACCATTCAACATTACAGGTTCTAAAGGAATGAAGCCACCATGAGAAAAACCAAAATGAAAAACTGTATATACATATATATATATATATATATATATAAGTTCCAAAACTCTGAAAAGCATTACAACAAAAATATTGTGAAAATAATTGAAAATCAGGACTACTTGCAACAACAAATTGGATTTGTCAAGAACAAAGTCAATTTAGTCAGCTTCCAAATTTTGAATAAAAGAGAATATATATATATACATATATATATATATATATATATAAAGAGAGTGGAGAAAAAGAGAAAGAATCAGACCTAATCTTCTCCTCTGCAACCACTGTTGTGGGATTTCCATAGCGCCCATATTCGAAACTTGCATGGCGTTTCTCCTGCCAAAATATCAGTAAAATGTTAACCCTATATTCCCTAAACATTGAAAATTAATGCACTACTAAACGAGGGATCATTTGTGTTTGCCAAAAAAAAATTATAGTACACTTCCAATATTTACTGCAGCTACTGAACATTAATGCCATACCTTGAAGTCAATAAGCTCAGCGGTTTTCTTAAAGAAATAGGCAGTAGTATTGACCACTGGAGTTGTAATTGCATCAGTAACTATCCCACGCCCTAATCTTTCACCTGCATCAAACTCCAACGGTAAAGCACTTAGTTTCCATTTTCAAAGACATAAAAAACAACACTCTTTGTCATTAAATGAAGAGCAAAAAGGACCATCAGCTATGTGGTCTGGTGCTAGAGTTATCTATCCTCTTAGCCACAGGTCTAAGGTTCAATCCTAGTCTCTACAAACCACAAAAAATGAAGAGCGAAAAGGAGATACACGGAATTGTTTAATTACCGGCATGAATTGCGATGCTCCCGTCGGAGCGCAAAAATGATGCATTCTGTACACTTCCATTGCTGTTACAACCCTCAATCACCGCCACATCATCAACGGCAGTAAGCTCGACCGGAGTGGAGGCCGAGGATGCAGCGGCGGCGGCGGCGGCTGCCTGAGCCGCCGCCGCCGCCGAGGAAGGGGATCCAGATGTAGGGCCGTTGGACCACTTAGCCGCCACGATTTGCGCCACACCGATGTTGCTGCAGTTGCGGCGGGCCTTGGTGCTGAGCTGACGCACGAAGTTCGGCGGGAACTTGAAGATCAGGGAGGACACCCCGCCGCTGCAGCCACCAACAAACGACGCCGTTCCACATCGAAACGGGCTGAAGCGGCGCTGGCCCGGTTTGTCCCCGCGCGTTGCCCCAGAGAACTCGGGATCGGAGCGGCACTCGAAGGAAGCATTGAAAAGCCTAGGAGACGGCGACGAGGATACGGCCATTTCGGAAGGGGGAAATAAAAAGAGAACGTCGTCGGGGGTTAGTCTGCCTCCTCTGAAAATAAGACACCACGAAATAACGCAAGCGGGGGTTGTTGAGTGCTTAAGTACGCGGACTGACTTGCCGTTTTGCGTTTGGTTGGTTAAATAATTGGTTTTTTTATTAACTTTTTCAAATCAAATAATCACGTTATATTTTAATTAATTTAAAATTAAATTATTAAATTTTATAATAAAAATATTTCTTGAAATTTTTTTTTTTAACATAGTGTTATGAGTAGGATTCGAACTTCGAATCCACCAAAAAGAGAAAAATTGCACTTTTAAAGTGGACCGAAAGTTACTTGGCCTCGAAGGATCAAGTTTTTTAAAATTTATTTTTATTTATAAGATTCAAAAATCAAAATTGAAATCTTATTTTTAAGAGTATTAAATTTTTTTTATTTAGATCAATAAATTATTAATTGATTAAATAATTGCAATTTAACTAGGGTTAGGTTACGGTAAGGGGTTACCGAATCTTGGGTTCTACAAGTGGAATCCTGGAAGCTTGTGTGGCTTTGTTGCCTCCGACGTCAAAGATAGTGACAGTTTGGCATCATTCCGCTGATGATATCATTTTTTTTTTTCATTTTTCTTTTTTAATATATATAATTTTTAGGTGGATGATAATGATATACGGTAGTTTTTTTAAATTTTAAATTTTAAATTTTTATATTTTTTATTATTTTAAAAATATATAAAATATTAATTATAATAAATATGAAGCATATTAATTTTTTTATTTTTTTATGTTAAAAGGTAAAAAAAATTACAATTATAATTACATACCAATATTATCAAATTAAGTTTATGAGTTTTAATTAAATAAAAAAAGTTAATATTAAATGATATGTAAAATTATATAAAAAATTATTTTTTAATTATTTTTTTAATTTTCTAATTGATAATGTTAGGCATATAGTGTTTCAAATCAATATTTATATATAATAAATTATAAAATGTATTATTTTGTGATTAACTTTTGTTTCAGCTAAATGTAACTTATTTAATGTCATATTAACAGAAAAAATATTGTAACATTGTATTTATAACTAGAAAAAGGTGTTGTATGAATTGTCCTTTTAAATTTTGTTAGGATTTGTTTAAAAATTTCTTTTTTAAATATATCTATTAGATTAAATATTTTATTTATAGAAAATATATGTGTTAATTTTTTAAATTGATTTAGTAAACTTAATTAGTTTGTTGATTACACAAAATCTAACATATTTTGTTAAATACATGTTAATAAATAGATTTTTTTATTAAAGAGTTATAAATATTAAATAAATATGAAATTTAATATATATTAATTTAGTTATAAATATTAAATAAATATGAAATTTAATATATATGATTTACATAAATAAAAACTTCAATTCAATAACTAATTTTTAAAAAAATTAATTAAAAAATAAATTTTTAAATAAGTTCTCTAAACAAACTTAAAATGACAAACTACTCTATATTACCAACTTATAACACTGCCCATTTTAATCTTCTTCCCTTGTTTAAAATTTGGGGATGCATGGTTCATGCCATTATTATAGTATTTTTTTTAACAAGAAAAATTTTCAGAAAAAAAAAAAAAGAATGATTACAATTATCACTAAAAAAACTTAAGTCTTAATCAAGACTAAAGTTTTTACTGTACCTTGTCACCTGGGCTGCGAGTGCCATGCCATTGTTAATTATAATTGTTTTTTTTTTTTTTTTTGGTAAAGAATTATAATTGTTTTTGCCACATTGCCAACCATCCTAAAATTTATATGACGAACATGATTTCATAAGAAGAAAATCGAAACTTATTGCGCCGGGCAAAAGCAGGGTCCGTTATGGACACTTAAGAAAATGGTCAGCCCACACAAATTTTATATGATTTGTTTGATATTTTATTTATTTATAATTTGTTAAATAATTAATTTTAATATATTAAATGATAAATATTAATTATTTTATTAATTAATAATAATTTTTATTTTTTTTATTTTACTTGCATAATAAAAGATAACCATCTCTAATTTTTTTATCTCATCTCACATACATATGATGCAATTCAAACTTAAAATTTTTTTATTTTTTAATAAAAAGATATAATCACTTAATTATTTTAACTCATTGATAATTTTTAATAATTAAATTAATATTTTATCAATTATTGTGTGACCTTAATATTTCTCTGCGTAGCAAAACCACAGCCGCAAAAGGAATAAGCCTAGCTTCTCTTGGGAATTAATTTGGTGGTTCAAGTGTACTCGAGGAATCAAGTTGGTGCGATATGTGGTACCATAGTATGGTCCCAGCGGATGCAAGCCTGATCTCGTCTTTTCCTTCCAAATCCAGGAAAAGAAAATAAAAAGAATCTCTCTTTGGACATTATTGTGAAAGTGGGGCATTGTGATGCATCACGCATGCTGTTTGAGATTGTAAGTGCTTTGAATCCTTTGATAATACTCTGAATCTTACCATCCCACTTGCACTTTTGAATAAGCAAAATTGGCAATGGCCATCTGATTATGGCTAAGAATCTTATCCTACTCCTAAGCTTGAAATAATTAAAATATTGTTTAGATTAACCGTTTAAATATATCTAATAACTAATTTGATAACTGATAATATTTATTATTTATAATTTAAAATATTTAATTTATTTAGTTAGAGTTAATAATTAATAAATGTTTATAAAATATCAAACCGAATGCAATCGATAACTATTTGAAAAACATTAAAACAAATACCCCATAAACTTTTTTGTGCTGCTGACAAAAAGAAGAATTACTTTTAAAGTTATTTGGCAATTTGAAACTACAAATCTTTAACTTCTTTAGTATGAAAAAATGTGTAAATAAAATGTCAATTTTACATTTTTT